GGAGCTGGGCAGTGGTGGTGAACACCTTTAATCCCAGCCCTTGGGAGGCAGAGGGAAGAGGATCTCAGTGAGTTCAAGGCCAGCCTGGTCTAGAGAGCAAGTTCCAGGAAGCCAGGACTATTATGCAGAGAAACCCTGTCTCAAAAAAAAAAAAACACACAACAACAATAAAAAAAATTATTTGATGACCCCAAAGAAGGTTCAAATAGTTAATATGTTAATATTAACATACAAATGCACACAAAACTTGCCACGGCAAGAGTCTGTAAAAGTTTATTTAAATATCTAAAAAAGTCAAATCAAAGTCTGCTAGTTCCAGTGTATTATTTTTCTAATTTATTTCAATTAAAGCTAAATAATTATATAAATTGACTGCAGCTTTGCTGATGTGGGATTCCCCTCCGGATGCTAGGAATATGTTCTCCAGGAATGAAAGCAGAGTCTCCGTTTACACTTGGCTAACGTCTTAACAACACAAATTTAAAAACTATTTTTAAAGTATTTTGTGGTTAGAGAACTTTTAATGTATACCATGAGCACCGTTAGAAAGCCTGTACTTTATGAAGAAAACCTAAATGACGAGACTGATTGCAGCCAAAGAGAACCCTCTTAAAATGTTAAAGCTAGAAAAACCATAACTAGACACATTTGTCCTGCGCCCTCCCTGTAACCCAGCCCTGTAAGAGGCACCAAGGACTTTATATTGACAGCGCCTGATCCACAGTCTCCCGACACATGTGACACCCGCAGTGGGCTCGATGTGAAGCCACAACCTAACACAGGCACTGGTGCCATGGCTCTCACAGCAATGACTGACTGCAGACCTGGTTATGGAGAACACGCAACTGAGTTAAAAGACAACTATTCAGTAGCACGATCTTGCAGTATAACATCTAGCACGCAGCTTTTCAACTTGGGTGTCGGGGACTGAGTCTGGAACTAGGGAATCAACAGAAGGAGTACCAGGTTGGACCTTGGGTACCACAAAAGGTAATTTCCACAAAGGAGCAAGCACCCTGTGCTAATCCTAATGTCAGCAAGGTTCAGGGAGGCAGCCAGGGTGAGGGAAGGCTGAAGGGAAGGGCAGAGAGGACACACAGTCGTAAGGCTAAAAGAAAATGAGAATATGGGGAAGGACTGAAAAGGTGGACAAGACCCTCAATCACAAAATGACCTTCTGTGCCTGTGCCACACCTGGGAGTCTGCATCTACCAGCAATAATGTAACACAAAATAGGCTGATCTCAAGAGGAGGGATTCAGTGCATCCCTGGGATGGGAATGTGAAGACCTGGCGGGACAGAGGCAGAGAAATCTCTGAAGATGACTCCTGGTTCTGAGAGGGTATGAGGAGTAAAGGGCCCTCTCTTGCTCCCTCCCTCTGTACCTCGCTATATACAGCATGCTGACAAGACTCTTAGCTCAGGGTGCTTGCTCTTTTTACCCGGGACCTGATGCTGGAGAAGAGCCCAGGAAGAGTCCAGGAGCTCAGTTCAGACACACTAGCTTTGAAGTTATTGGTGGACACTAGGTGAGAGTTCTGGGCAGAAGGTACAATCTGCTTGCCATACTCTATGTAGTATTTATATATTATATAGGTTATATATACTCTACATAGAATATGTAATCTCATATATATCATACAGAAACTCAAGAGCAAGTGCTTCCGTCAACAACTGTGCCTCTCAGCTGTGGAGGGCTACCAGGAGTGTCCCGACTTCTGGTGTCCCCACTTCAGGATCCGCCTTGAACTGACTGACATTAAACTGTTTTTGCTGCTCTTCCTAAGCAGATAAAAATGTGTTCTGAGCTGGGAAGTGGTGACACACACCTTTAATCCCAGCACTCGGGAGGCAGAGGCAGAGGCAGGCTGATCTCTGTGAGCCTACAGCCTGGCCTACAGAGCAAATCCAGGACCCTGCCTTAAACACCCCCTAAAAAAAATACATTCTGAAGTTCAAAAGGGACTGGGTTGTAGCTCAGTGGTAGAGTACTGGTCTATAGTATGTAGAGGCCTGGGTTCTACCCTCGGCAGGGTACAAATTAACACTAATGAAGAGCATTCTACAACACTGTACCTAGCCAGGCAGTGACTGCGATTTCTACAACCATTTTCAAAGCTAAAATAACATTATTCATTCCTTAGCAATACTTCAGCCTTTCTGATCCTGTTAGACACTACTTACTGTGCTCCAAAAAGGCTTACCCAAGAGCCGTGTGCTCAGGGAGCCAGCTCAGCGTCCTGGAGAGCATTTACTCAAGGACGAGCTGGAGTCACTCAGGTTTGCTCCCTCTCATCAGAATCTCCCAAAGCAATCTCCTTTTCTCAGCAAAGGAGTAGATGGCTGCTGATATCTGAGAACACCCAGGAGGAAAGGAGGGATGGGGAGGTGAGAAGGAAGACGGGCTTCAAATAGTGCCTTCCTGGCTTGCAACCAAACACAATTACAGAGCAGCCACAGAAGATGATGTCAAGATAACAGAAACAGAGTCTTCACCAAGGCCAGTGGCACTGACAGCTTCCTCAGCTGAGGAGAGTGTGAGGTAACAGGCCACAGAGGCCCCACGGCCAGAGTCAGCAGTGGTCGGGCAGCCATCTAGATTTTTCTCTAGACAGGCAGATCCACGGCAGCACCAGTCACGCTTTCTCAAAGCCCAGACTGCCATATGGCCAAGTTCATGTCTCTAGTCTCGAGTTGCCATAGGCGGAGCTGCTCTAGGATATCTTGACAGAACGCACGGTTTTGCTGAGCTGGCCATGGGAGCTCCACTGACTTCCAGTTTGTCTATCATTAAACGCTAGCACTGTGGTGTCATTCATGAAATTATAAAAAAGTAATTAAGAGGTGTGAAACAATATGAGTGGCCTCCATGCAGACTGAGTACGAATGGTACTAAAACAGAAGGAAACACGGCGCTGGGCTGGGTCTCAGAGCAGAGTCACGTGAATCACTAAATAAACAGGAGGGCCGCAAATCTACACAGAAAATTCAAACAACCTGGGCTGATGTAGCTTAATTCTACGTAATACATTTGCCCCCAGAGAACACGGTGTGAAGGAGGCAGTGAGATGAGCCCTGGCAGGGAGGCAGACAGACAGATGGTGACCTGGTGACCCAAGTCATAATCAAAGGCGAGCTTAGCGGTGGTGGCTCACGCCTTTAGCCCCAGCGCTCAGAAGGCAGAGGCAACCCGGTCTACAGATCGAGTTCCAGGGCAGCCAAAACTACAAAAAGAAACCCTGTCTAGAAAGAAAAAATAAAGAAAAGAAAAGAAAGGGTTCAGAATCCAAGGAGAAGCTGATGCACGCATACACCTTCCTTGCCGTGACAAGACAGCAAAGCAGCCTGTCTTGTGGCCTTCCCCATACTCTGGCCCATTCAAGCAGAGAAAAGTTATCAGACAAGCTAAAAATCCAAGGACATTATACAAAATACCTGACCTCCTCATAAGACCATCAAAATTTAGGAAAGTGATCAATGGAGAATCACCCATGCCCAAGGAAACATGGCTACTAAACCTTCACATGGGACCCGGGACCTACAGACGAGACGCCCATGATCACACTCAAAAGCAGACGGTCCTTCCCGGGTGAGGGACTTTGGAACTGCCTTAAAGAATGCATAGGATTAAAATCAAGGAATCAGTGTCCATGCACACATGTGATGTAAGTGGCTGAACAACCAACTCGCTAAATCCCCACAGAGAAGAACCGCAGACAGTCTGCGAAGAAGACGCTGAAGGCCACTGACTGAGGACTCAGCCCTGGAGGGCATTAGGAAAACACTAACGACGTCTAAACAAAGAAGAGAGCTTGGTCCACAGTAGGACAGCAAGGCTGCCTTCACGATGCTAACATGACAACAGGTGTGCTGGGTGACAACCGTGCAAGGCCTCTCTCGTAAATCTGTATTCTAAAGCAAGTCTCGATGTATTTGGGCTTTGCCTTTGGTTTCCTAAGACATGGTCTTCTGTAGGTCAAGAGGGCTTCAAACTGACAAGGTTGCCAAGGACGACCTTGAACTCCCAATCCTCCCGCTTCTACCTCCCAAGCAAGCACTAGGGCTACAGGCAAATCTACCAAGCCCCCATTCCAACATTTAATTTTAAATCACAAGCTATTGGACGGGCTTGAGGAAGTTTTTAAAATCAACTGAACAATGACAGTTCTGCCCTAGGTAAGTCAGTGAATACTTCATACATGCAGTCAGTGACCAGTCACCCATTACATAACACCGAGGGAATTCTTAGAGCTCCACACTCTGTATTCTAGAAACAGACACAAAGAAGGTCTCTAACAGGAGCCTTCCATCTAGGTCATGATATTATCTTCACACATCAGGAACAATCTCAATTCTGAAGAGCGGAACAGACAAAACAAACAAAAGGAAAAAGCAGGTTAAAAAGCAACGCAGCTGGGAGCAAAATAACAGCACAATACTGGAGTAACGGCCACCAGCACCACGGAGCACAGTCCAGGATGATCCAGCTGTGAGCCACGGGCTCCTGAGGCTGACCTGAAGGGGAAGGCGTTTCTTAGGAGACTGAGAAGTCCTAAGGCTGTGTGTGTGTGTGTGTGTGTGTGTGTGTGTGTGTGTGTGCACAACCAGGAGCACACAGAACAGCAGGAAAAAGTCTTTTTACTGACGGACACTGCACACAACACAAGGCAACGCTGGACTTGTTTGGTGTGCTCTCCTCAGCACTGGGCACAGAGTCTGACCTCGACAGAGGTCTCTAAACAAAAAGGCAGGCCCAAATACACCCCAGGAAAAACAAGGCTAAGGTGTGGCAAACAAGGGAATATTGACAACAGTTTTTTGTATCATTTTAAAACAAAACCAGATTAAATTACTGGAGAACGCAGAGTCCACTGAGGTCAAAGAGAAAGGTATGTTACAGAGAACAGTAAACACATATACAGAGAGAGATGTGTAGAGACCAGTACATCCAGTGACGTAGGGATGCCCAGCAGGCAACAATCTGTCCCCTCTCTCCTTACCTCTGTTCTTGAGAAGGCTCCTCCATGTCCTCTTCAGAGTCACCCTGGAGTGAAAGAACACCCGTTAGCAACTGTTTCAAAGACACACAGTCCCCAACGGTGCGACGCTGAGCAGCAGTGAATAACTAAAGTGACCAGCCATCAGTGGAGATTTAGAACAGTGTCATACAGGGGGGCAAAAGTGGTTAAAAGTGCTTACTCATCTTCCAGAAGACCCAACTTTGGGTCCCAACACCAACATCAGTCAACCAACAAGCACCTGTAACTCTACCTCCTGGAGGGAAAAAAATCCCTCTTCTGGCCTCTGTGGGCACCACACACAGACACACACACACACACACACACAAAAATCTTTTGTTTAATGATGTCATAATGGCAATATAAAGCCATAGGTTGGCAATTGGTCTCTCAGACACTCACGGTAAGTAAATGACCTACTGGCTTAGAACATAGCCTGAACATAATTCCAAAACACTTCAAGAGCCTTTTTTAACATTTTAAGTCTAATCATATAAGACACTAGTCAAAATAATAAGATCTAATAATAAACTCTCTAAGTATAGAAAACATATTATTTAGCTGAGCATGGTGGCCTAGTCCGAGCACTAGAGAGGCAGAAGTAGGTGGAGTTAAGAGACCAGCATGGTGTACATAAAGAGTTCAAGGCCAGTCAGACTGCACAGTGAGATCCTGTCTCAAAAATAAAAAAGTAATTTAAAGACAGAAAAGACATTGTATAGCTCATTGTATATTATATTGTATATTCTATATTAACTGCACATTAATATAGAATACACTATGACATCAATAAAAAGGCCACTAATTTTGTAAATTAAGCAAACATTCCCTTCAAATACTATTCCGTGTATTTCAGGAGGAAACATGAGCAGGGTGGACAAAGAAAAGCCAAGGCCAACTAAGCCCTGCAGTGCCCAGCCCACATTAACCCTGGGGTCATTACGCGGCCAGGCTTCATCTCTGTTTGGAGCTCTGGACGTCCTGACTCTCCAGCTTCTCTCTCCCAGTGCCGCTAACCCTCCAGTCCCTGTCTCTGGTCCTCTCGGCCCAGGGTCCCTTCACTACAAGTGTACTGGGTGTGGAGAGACGGCAGTGGCTAAGAGCCATTACTGTCTTCCAGAGGGCCTGGGGTTGAGTTCCCACATCAGACAGTTCATAAAATCTTCAACGTGCTCACACAGACTGAGAGGACAAGGCCAGACTGCTCTTCTGTCCCTCTCACTGCAGATGTCCCAGCCAAGCTCTGTTAGCAGCCGCAGGAGGGACACTGCAAGCACGCGCACTGCTTACAACACGGTCTTACTTCCAGACCTACACACACACACACACACACACACACACACACACACACACACACACGGACTTCTGCTGAGGGCACCATCACAAAGCCAGACCCCTAGGCAAAACCTTTACTGCTCCCCTCTCTCCACCGCCAACTGGAAATTCAGATCTGCACATTCTCCCCTGTCCTGCCCACTGGCCCACCACCAATATCCCCAAGGCTTGTTTTACAGGGGTGATATACAGGGCTTTGTGTTATGCTTACAGGCTCACCTCCGTTCCATCCTACAAACATCACTCCTTACCACCCATCGTACGCCTAGCTTCCAGTGTCCCTGCTCGGATGACCCAAAGGCTGAGGCGAGAAGGTGGAGAGTTCCCAGGCCAGCCTGGACTAACAGTGAGACCCTGTCTCAAAAACCAGAAGGTGCTGCAGAAGTTCCCAGTGTTCATGGGACTACTCCAAACTCTTTCAGGACTACGCTGGACTACTCAGGGCTGGGTCCCTTCTGGCCATAGGTCTCAAGTGACCCCTCGGGAGACACTGGCCTCTTCTGTTCTTAATTGTCAGCACTCAAAAGCTGTCCCAGGCATTACCAGCTTTCTCTCCTCAGCAAAACCGAGCTCTCAAAGAACAAGATCAAGTCCTCTATTCCCACCCGCCCCAGTGCCCCAGGGCCCTTCCACTGGCCATTTCCACCCCATGCTGCTTTCAAGAGCTCAAGTATCTTTTCAACTAAAACTTTCCCATCACTGCCTCTCCCTGTCTGCGTACAACACGCATGCCCGTCAGACAGACCGCATGGCTTAGAACTTTGTGTGTCTCTCACCATCCATGTGCCTCTGTTTAAATGGCAGGGTCCATGCGGCAGGTGTTTGGGTTTACTGTACCACCATCTGCACCTGAAACCGTGTTTGGCCAGCAGGCTTCGTACAACCCAGCTGTCTCTTAGATTCTAATACTCCTCGGTATTTTTTGAAAACTTCTCACAAAACAGAACTTGTATTTCCCTCCAACACGGGCACCATTATCACCACCACACGGTGCTCAGAGAGCACTGAGACACAACACAGCCAAAAAACCTCAGGCTCGAGAGCTAAACGCTTCCTAGGTTCAAATCCTCCCCTGCTACGTCTTTTGCTTGTTTGTTGCTGGACACAGTTTCTCTGTGTAACCTTGGCTGTCCTGGAGCTCTCTCTGTAGACCAGGCTGGCCTCCAAATCACAGAGATCCACCTGCCTCTACCTCCTGGGATTAAAGGCCGGTGCCACCAATGCCTAGCACTTTTTTTTTCTTTCAGTTCTCTGCTACTTTGTTATTGCAGCGAGTGACTTACTTAGCTGTACAGTACCTCACTGTCTTCAGCTATAAAATCAGGCAACAACGCCTCACACTCTGTAAGGTATGAATATAAAGATGATGCTGATAGTTCTCAACCCATGTTAGTTATTATTTTTCAATGTTGACAGGAGAGTAAGCCAAAAATAAACATCTATGACAAAAAGATTTCCAAATACCAGTTAATGATTCACTGACCAGAGTTCCATGCTATTACATAATAATGTACCTGAGATTAAAACAAACAGATGTTCACTGTCTTGTTTCTGGTTTCACTTTCTAACAATTTCTATTATCCATACCCCCAAACTTAGACGGGGAAATCAAGAAAACATGGTATTTTTAAAGATCAGATCTTCTTTACCGAATCAGAGAGGTTTAACGGTGCCATGCCAATGCTTGGCGTCTGCATCAGGGTCCCAAGTCGGGCTGGCCCGCCCATCCCACCAGGCCCCATACAAGGTCCAGCATCTCCATTTCCACTCTATGGTGTTCAGGAGTGATTCCAGGCAGACTGGAACCAACAGGACACAACAACAGGGCAATGAACACTCAGGCATTTCATCTGTAATCTTCAGGATTGAGTAACTTCATCAATAACAGTGGAGCCAGACATCATGGTGACCACTGAACGCCCACTACATAGGGAACATGGTGGGCCACAGCAGCGCTCTCAAACCTCAGCAGCCCAGACTCATGTATGGGAACCCGGCTGAGACAAACATGGCACACACAAGCAAAGAAAAGTCAAACGGGACAAGAGATGCAGAAGGGAGATGATGGGGACAGCAGGAAACCCCAGAGTCACAAAGGACCTAGCCCTACGGTGCCTCCATGCCACAGTCAACATCCATGGTTCACACCACAGACGACGCACTGGGCTCAGCGGGTCCCAAAGGAGGGAAAGGAAAGAGACCCAAAGGCCAGAGCAGATCAAGGGAGCACCACAATCCACACACACGGACCACTAAGGTGCACAAAGCTTGCTATCTTATACGAATGCAGCTGCCGCCAGACAGCCCATGAAAAGACAAGCATGGCTTCTGTGCCATCACTGGTTCAGGTACTGCATAATCAGAGAACGGAGAAAGATCTGTAACTCTAACAAGAAAGCCTCTCATTATGACTGATAATTTTCTGTGTTACTATTCCAAACAAAGTCCTAACAGGAGACCATATAACAAAAATATGTAAATAGGGATGGGAGCACAATCCATTGCCACTCTCGGGAGACAGACACCCCCACACGAACAACACCCATATCAGCCTAACCACAGAGTCCATCACAGTGGGTTATCTGCCCTGGTGCAGCCCCTTCAGCAAGGGAAAGTGTTTGCGTTTTCCAGTGACGGAGCTTATGAGTTGGCTAAGAAACCACCAAAATGACAAGCTACCGGGATCACCGAGGTCAAAGAAGGTCATCCTCAGGAGCTCCTCTGAACTTAGTATAAAAATACCCCGCTCTGCAGGTGAGAAAGCTGGTAATGGAGATACGGTATGCTGGGCCCAGATACAGCCCAGTGACTAGAACATGTGTGTAGCCCGTGAAAGGCCCTGGGTTCCATCTCCAGCAGCAACAACAAAAGTGAATTAACAGGCTAAATAGTGGGAGGATTCATACCTAAACACTTAGAGACAAGAGGGTCTGGCAGCTTGTAACAATTACTAATGATGAGCAACAAGTTCTTAGTCACTTAGAGTCCCATAAGAAAAAGTTAAAAGGACAAAAACCACTTCTGTAGAAAATCAGTATTGGCAGATCCTTGAGCACAACTTGATGCTCAGCTCTCATTGATAACTCTTAGGTTCCACAGGCCTTTCTTAGACTTCCTGAGAGGACCTGAAAATATTCTCCAGACTCTTATGACATACACAAGGAAACCTTCTGAAAGTAATTCTAAATTCCTTGAAGAGAATCTCTTCCAAATGACCTTCTTCAGAACACTCTGTATCTACGACACACGCATGGCGCATCCCTGCCCAGGCTGATGCCTAGTGGTACAGTGTCTAAAGGGCACTCATAGAGAGATGACAGATGCAGAAAACTATACATACTAGCCTCACTTCCGACATAGCATGCATTAAAGTACCTTAGCTATCAAGGCCTCTATGGTGAGCATTCGGGTATGACAACTTCTCAACCGTCACCATTTTTACAAACTACACTATGCACGTGAAGTAAAGATCAAGCCAGAAACTGGGCATTTCATAAAATAACTCTTGAGCCTATAAATGAAGTCATGTTACCAAAGGCCTTGGCATTTCCATTTCGGGGCCACAAAGAATATATCTTTCATGAGGGCAGAAACAATGTCTATCATTTATTTTCTGTTTGGGCTGGCCTCCATCATGACCCACTGAAGACTTGGAGGCGTCACTCGAGCTACAATGCAAAGGCTCATCTGTGCATCTTAACCAGGGAAACCCTGCTTCCCGGGAATACTTGGAGACTTTCTCATTGGGTAAAACTGGTGTTTGGAGCCAGGTCCAAGGGAAGACACACAGTCCTGTAGCTCCAGCTAACTCAGGGATGAAACAGGAGGATGGCTTGAGTGAGGGAATCTGAGGCAACACTGCAAGATCTTATTTTAAAATAATAATAAAAAAAGAATAAAAACACCCGCAGCAGGGAGAGGTACAATAACATGACATGAAAATGCCACCAGCATCCAAGGAGCAGAGATCAGAACGATCTTCAGCATACGACCGTGAACAGGGAAGGCCCCCATCAGGAAGACGGCTCTGGCTCGAAGGTGGCTCATACCACCAATCAGCCACTGATATTCATGAATATAACTATTCAAAGTAAATGCTACCGAGTGTTTAGGGTGGTTTTCAGCTAAGGTTATGAATGACTTTGAATTTGGGTTTTGTTTTGTTGGTGGTGGTGGTGGTGGTGGTGGTCGTGGTCGTGGTGCCCCACACATACACTTTTCAAAGCAGATGTATAATTTAGAATGGAGGGTAAAAAAAAAAAAAAATCCATTTGGTAAAACAAAGACTGCTTGCTGGTGGGGCTTCTTCTCCAAAGGTGGTTCTCCTGCGGCCTGCTGGCCTCCAGAAAAGATCTAGGAAATTGTCTTCTAAAAAAGAAAAAAAAAGAAACCCACCTCTCTCTGCCTGTCAGTTATTATTCATTATCCCTGGCCAAATGAATATTCCAAATTTCTCAAAACCACTGCCATCAACGCTTCACATCAGAAGAAAGGTAAACCTGGAGAGGTCAAGAAGTTACAGCTCACGGCCCTGATTTTGATGCTGCCACCAGCATGGGAAGTAATAAACACTTTGAAAATTACCATATGCAAGTTAATATTCTCTTATCATTCAACACCCCTCCCATCCCCAATGCATTTTGGGTCTCTACGGCACTACTGGTGAAAAAAGTCTTCAAAATTATGTTTAAATGGGCATCTTTTGCAAGTCAGTGGGAAATTCTTGCATAATTCAAACATTCTATGCAAGACAAAAGCTTTGCAATATCCACTGCAGTCTGAAGCCCTCTATGCTACAGATTCCCCCAATAAAACGATAGCAATTATTTTTCCACATGTAATCATTATCTCATGGGGGGTGAAAAAGACCTGAAATTCAGGTTCTTAAGTGGGTGTATTCTAACAGGAATTAAAGACACTTGGAGAAAATCCAAGATTATACGCCTTTAAAGTCACTTCTTCATCCCAAAGCTACTTAGGCTAATGGTGAGCACCACTCACTAACATTTATGAAATCAATATCTCCATTGTGTTCAACCCTCCATCTACTTGCCATCCACACCACACCCGCTTGCCCAGACCCAAGTCCCCCGCTCACCCTGGACCACCAGCAGGCCAAAGAATCTGCCACCAGCCGGGCACAAGGCTGTGCGACACCCAACCTGCTTCAAGTGGCCTGGGCACCCACCTTCGGACTCACAGCCTGTCACTGGCGCGGGAGGAGGCCGAAGGGCCGCCGTTGCCAGGTGTTCAGGCTCCGCACGACCGTTTATTTGCCTTGCAAAGTGACCCGAACGCTCCTGGGCGACGGGGGAAGGCCGGCAGCCTCCAGGCCTCTCCTCCCTCGCACGCCGGCACCCGCCCTGTCACCTGGTCCTCCTCACCTGAGTGGGCAGCAGGAGTTCCCCTTCTTCAGCCTGCCACAGCTCCACCACGTTCGGCAAGGGCTCAATCGCTGTACGGACACCAAAAAGCACACCGCGTTTGTAAGGCACGGAAAAGAGACGCTTCCTGTTTCCTCGCCCGTCCCCCCCAGTGCCACCCGCCTGCCCCAAACAAGTCTGCTTCTCCTCTCTCGCAGCGGAGGCCACCCCGAGGGGGTGAACCGAGGATGCAAAGACAACGTCCAGCCGGCGCCCCCCGGGTCGAGGAGCTGAGGGCACGCGAGCACGGTGCGGACCCGGGGGCGAGGCCGCCTCATTAGGCACGGCGATCCCCAGGCCACCGGGCTGAGGGGAAACAAAGCTGCAGGAAGCCGGGCGCGGCGAGGCACCCGCGCGCCACACAAAGCGGGGGATGCGCCCGGGGCGCAGGGGCCCGCGCACAAAGGCTCCGGGGCGCGCGCGGCTAGCGGTCCCCAAGCCCCGCGCTGCCCCGCGCTGCCCCGCTCCTGAGCCGGCCTAGGGCCGCCGAGGGGACGATGCGGTCGCAGGGCTGCAGCAGCCCGTCTTCCCCCTCGCCGAGCCGCCCGGGGTCCCCTTCCTCCGCGATCCCTCACAGATTTCAACAGTTCCCTTAAAAGAAAGGGGGGGCGGGGCGGCGAGGACTGCCAGCCCCGACGGCGGGCTGACCTTGTCCCTGAGCCCCTCCCGGACGGCAGCAGGACAGCAGGACCTGGAAGACGCCCAGCAGAAGGTTCGCCGCAGCTGCCGTGCGGCGGTGGGCGCCGGGCTGCGGCCGCCGGAGCCCCGCCATGCTGGTGCTCGCCGCGCTCTCTCGCTCGCAGCGCTCTCCTCCTCTGGCTTGCTGGCGCCGCGGCAGCCTCGCCGCGCCCCGGGCCCGCCCCCGCGCCCCGGCCCCGCCCCCGCCGCCGGCCCCGCCCCCCGCCGGTGGTCCCGCCCCCGCAGCTGCTGGACCGCCGCTCGGCGCCCGCGCTCGGCTGGCTCCGGAGCGAGTGTGCTCCGTCCGCCGACGGAAGGGATGGAACGCGGCGGGCGGCAGCGCAGGGACGAGGACAATGCGAACGCTCGCGGCGCGGCGTGGCGCGCAGCACGTGCCCCAGGACCCCCGGCAGCCCACGGGGAGAGGACGTTCTCCTGAATGCTCTTTGTGGGTGACATCCCGGTCGCGGTCGTGAGGGACGGGGACGGTAACCCCGGGGGTGGGGTTCTGGGAATGAATGGTAGCCCAGCGCAAGGCCTGGGACAGGATATTAGTGGAAATAATGCTGTGGTTGTCAGGAAACGCGAGTGCAGCCGCATAGCTGCTGCCAGTTCTGCAGCGAGGATATCCGGTGGCTGCGAGGTCTGTAATTTAGAATCAAAAGCTCTCCCAACACCCGAGAGGCTGACCTCAGCGCCGCGTGGCGGTAATGCGCTCGGCACCCTCTGTGGAGACCGTCCAAGTCCTGACAGGTGGGAGAGCTTCGTCGTCACTCAGGCCTTCAGAGACCCTGCAAAAGTCCCCACCTTCGGAATTAGACTGCAGAGCTGAGCCAGGCGGCTCAATGTAGTGGAAGTGTATGGTCGCCCGCCCATTTCCAACGTTAGTAAGCAGTGTGTGTCACACTTGGAAATATATTTTCTGCCCCTGTGTTTTAAGTTGATTTGCTGCGTGCAGCAGACGTAGCTCATATGAAATTCAGAGAGTGAGCTCTCCGGTATAAAGAAGGGACGCAATGGTGCACACCTGTCTGCTTACATTGATCTAATGTTTAATTGCTTCTGGGGCCTTCCAGTCTAGACTATGGGAAAATGTGGTCACACAGCAGGTCAGATGCTGGACAAGGACAAAACGAACGACAGACACTCGAGACTGTGAACCTAATCTCGCTGTCTGGATGTAACTCTAAATAAATGAGGTTAAACCACCTGATTTCTTTGCCAGGCTTAACATTTGATAAAAGGAAATGTCTGCATGAAAAAAGTCCCTTTGCTTTGCCCACTTTGAGAACTCCAAGTGTATCTTACTTTTTTTTCCTGGGTTGCCTGGAAACATGCCTAGCAAGGATCTCCTGTTGCATCCCATTGTGATCTTTTCTCCTCCTCTGGGTTTATACTTGACTCCTGGACACTGAAATTACCTCACGGTGTTAAAGGGTCTCCGAAAAACCAAACCATATGCACCGGGCCGAGGGTGTAGCCTGGCTAGCACATGGGCTCTGGGTTCAACCTACAGCGCTACAAAACCAGCACTTGCGCAGTTCACACTAGTTTTCATTTGGTTTCCAAGTTCCCTCATGGGCCTATTTATTTACCGTATGTTAATTCTAAATCTCCTGTGCTAAGGAAGCAAGCACACCCTGACAGCAGGCTTGATTTGAAAGTCACAATGTAAAATTCCTCCAACTTTTAAATTACCTCTTTACTAATAAAGCCCCACAGTAACACGTTCCACACTGTCAAGGAGAATTATTTAAGGCGGAGGAATACTGCTGCAGGCTCCATCTGAGTGTGCTCTCATTTATTCTCCTAAACGAAGGCTTTCGGGCCAGCCCGGTATTTTCACATTGGAGTCTTTCTAAAGTTGACGGTTGCTCACCAAGCCGACAGCGTGTATCTGCAGCGCCATGGGGCTGGGTAGGATACAGGACCACACAGCTGTCTTCTTAGATAAATCGGACCCACTTAGCCTTCTCTGGAGGTATGGCTCATGCTGACTCACGAGCAACAGGAAAGTTATAACTCATTAAGCAGCTTCCGTGTTTTAAAGTTCTTCTCCAAAGATGACACCTGGGCATTTGTGCTGTGTTTCTGACAACCCCCTTTGTCAACAGTAGTCACAGACGGTTAGAACTGAGAATCTGAGAAAAAAACTTTATTCTTTTTATTTAACTTTGAGGGGTTTTTTTTCTTCAGTTAAATCTACATCATAACCTAGAAACAAAACAGAGCGGAAAACAGTAACAACAGAAAACCCACCCTTAGCGCTGCCTGATGGCCCAGGCCTACCAATTCCTAGACACGCTAAGGCATAAAGAGCTCTCAAGGCCATCCTGGGGCCACAGAGCTCATGCAAAGACGGCCCAGGTGATTTTGATTTTGTGAGACAGACTTTGTCTCAAAAGCAAAAAGGAAAAGCAGGCTGGGGACATAGCTCGGTGGTAGAGCCCTTGCCTCATCCACAAAACCCTGGTTTTAATCCCCAGCAATGTAAAACTACAACAAAATCAATTCTGATTTGGAAATATCAGTGATATTAACAATGTTTTTAAACCCTTTTAAGTGCTGATGAAAAGCAAGTCTATACACACATATCTCGACACACCCTGATAAAGTGGCTCACATGGTAACCCCCATCACCCTAACCTCTAACTAAGATGATCAGACACGCCAGCTCAGAGAGCGGCTGTGAAGACAGATGAGTAAGGCATGGTGAACATATGCCAGGAGGTGCCCAGTAAATGCTAGAAACCATGTTGCTATTTATTCCCAGTGTAGAGGCACAGCACACCTATAAAGTGCTAAGTTTGATATAAACACTTCAAACGCATGGATCACCTATTATGTCATTTATCACCCAAACATTGGGAAAGTTCATGCACCTGCAGCAGCCTTCTGCTGACCCATCTGTCCAGCAGTGTTAGCCCCACCCTAATGAAACGAGACCAAGAGTTTCACTGTACCACCCCCACGGCCATTGGGATCTAAGTTTCCACTCTGGCTAGAAGGAAATGTCCACATCAGGGAAGGAACTTACTCCTGAGGTGCAAACTGCCCCCTTGACAGTGTCGGAACCTATTCCTGGGATGCAAACTGACCCCTTGACTCAAAGGCACTCTTTTTACAAAGACTTTTCCAGTGTTATTTTTATTGTTTTGTTTTTTTTTTCTTTTCTTTTCAAGACAGGGTTTGTTTCTCTGTGTAGCCCTGGCTGTCCTGGGCCTCGCTCTGTAGACCGCGCTGGCCTCAGAACTCAGAGAGGCAGGCCTGCCTCTGCCTCCTGAGTACTGAGGTTAAAGGCGTGCACCACGATGCCCAGCTAGAATTGTTTTTACAGTTATTTATCTGTGTGGCTGTATGTGTGCACGCTACACACGTGGAGGTTAGAAGATAACCGCAGGGCCATTCTCCCTACCACGTGGGCTCTAGAACTTGAACTATGGGCCACGGGGCCATCAGGCTGAGAGGCAGCCGTCTTTGCCCACTGAACCACCTTGCTATAACCTTGCCCCATCTCACCTCCTGAAGCCTCCAGGCTGTCCTTCAGGAAGGTCCTCACTGGATGCAAAAACTAAGTATTTCCTGGGTTTCTAGATTGTTAGGAATGCGTTTCTTTCTTTATAAATTACCCCATCTGCAATACTAGGTGGGAAGAGTAAAGAACAAAATAAGACATTATGCAATTTTCTTGACAGCCTCTTCCTCCCCTGCCCAACCTTTAAATCTGTACACCCTTCATGCCCCCTCTATTGGACGCGCACAGCCCTGGGTCGCTACTGCCTATGGGATGAGTCTACAGATGTCAGGCCAACTGGAAGTCCCACACTTAATGCTGCCACCTGCTTCCCATCCATAGCCCACTGTATTGTAAGCCTCGCAAATCTTACATGTCTCAAATTCACAATTCCATCTGTCCAAATTCCTTACTCCCTAGCCTTCCTAAGTTCAAGTTAATGGTACCACCTAGTTCTTGAGCCAAAGGCCAGGAATCATATTTAATTCCTTTCCTTTATATCTTTTAAATTTATCAAAAAAAAGTCATGTGTCCACTTTCAAAATGTGTCCCATCCCTCTTCCCCACTCTCTCATGTCTTTCACTGGTCTCTCTGCTCCCACCCAAGCTCCTTAAACCTCAGTCGTACCAGAACCAGAATGGCCAATTCAAAATAGAGCTCATGCTACATGTAAAACTCTCCAGTAGCTTCCTGTAGTAGAAACAATTGATATTCGAGTAAAATCGTCCTGTAAGAACTATGAGAGATCTATCCCTGCCTACCTTCTGACCACTTCTCCTAGCTTTTCCAGTAACCAGTGGTCTTCCTGTTCTGCGAGCCCACCAGAACTGAGTCCATCTCCGGATCTTTGTACTTTCTGTCTTTTTCTAAACTTTTTTATTATTATTATTATTATTATTATTATTATACTTTAGTTTATCCCTGGCTGGCCTGGAACTTACTATTTGGATCAGCCTGACCTCAAATCCAGAGCGATCCAGCAGTCAGTTCTCTTTCCACCATGTGGGTGCCCAGGGAACAAACATAGGTTATCAGTCTTGGAAGCAAGCACCTTTTCCTGAGGGGCCCTCTGAGCAGCCCCCACTTTCGTCCTCCTCCTTTACTGAAATCCTTTGTCCTGACTGTCGCCTCTGACTCTTGCAACCCATCCCTTATGAAGTGCTGCTATGTTTGCTTGTACAGGGAGTGACCATGCTGAGCCCTAGTTCAAGGATGCCTGAACCAAGGACAGCATCTCATTCTACAGACTGACTCACTGACCAGTGGCCAAACCATGTGGCCAGGAACTATCTCCTGCAAGAGGAAGCCCTCCTTCTAATCTGTTGTTGGAAACTTTTGGTACCTACATGTCTTGTAGAATTCAGAAGAACTTGACGGAACTAGCTATGTGACCCTTATTTTATTTAGAAACGACAGATGGAAGGGGAAACAACCTTCAAACCATACCTCTTACTCATCCTACCATCCTGTCTCTTAAGAAAAAAGAGACAAGAACATAAACTAGAAACCTACTTTTTTTTTAAGATCAGGTTTTACTTCTACTTGATAAAGGATATTTGTCGTAAATTTACAAGACCCTATGAAGACCCAGCTATAGTTGTGAAGCTTACGAAACAAGCCACACCTAGCTAAAC